TCAGAGCGAGTAACTTCGTTTCAATAAGTTAACCTATGGTCTTATGACGGTGTGCGACACATATGATACCACGGCCTCACAGAAATTCGTTGTCAAGCTATTATTTTATTGCTTTCCACCGAGTGTGTGAAGTTACAGGAGGGTTAATTTTAGTTAATTTTGAATATTATTGTGACTTCAAATTATGCTAGTAGAATTGGTAATATCGTCAACTCGCGCTCGAACCTATACGAATTATGAATAATAATTATTATGGTGATTAAATTGGTTGCATCCGAATAGGGCTAGTGTGTCTTTTATTTAATTTTCCTTTATTTAGGATTTACTTCACTTTCCTTTTTTATGCCATCTTTTTTCTATATCTTGTTTTCTCTTCATTGCCTTTTTACCTTTTAATCATTACCTAAAACTTACATACTATTACACATCAAAACAATGTTGTGTATATTTAATGATGCCATTGTATGTATCTGTTAATTAAAAAAGAGTGGCCGTGAGTTTGTTTGCCCTTTCTTCTCCCTTGGAAATTGGCGGTTGTTGATCGGTACAGGAATATAAGAGATTTTCGATACGTACATACATATTTAGTTTTCTAAATATTTGACAAAACAGAGATTGTTACTATTCTGTGTGTTCTATGACTTTAGAGTCTACACATGAGACGATTTCAAATAGTTTTAAAAAAATGAAATAAAGATAGTTAGTTTGAATGTTATTATTATTACCGGAAATGGACTACATCCATTAGTTTAACTATTATTGACAGCAAACAGTTAAATTTGGCAACTTTTATTGTAGTATAAACATATCTATTTGTCTATTCAATGAAGCAGATCATTGAATAATGCGTGCAAAGCCAGGTGCGTTTTGTTCTGTATGTAGTTAGCTAAAAGTAGGGGTGTGCTGATGTTATCGACAATATTGATTGTTGAGTGCTTTTGACAGTGTGACAGTCGATAGTTGGGAGATTCAGTTTTAGATTTAGAAGTGTGTTCTTCTTCTTGTTCTTCTTCTTACAGCATGTGTGATGGTTATATTATATCGTAGTCTAGGAAATGTAAAAATATCAGTCATAACGTTTATCCGGAGATGTTTAAGTAGGTAGGTACCTACAGGAAATATAAAATGTACTTATTTGACACAATATCCTTGACATTTCTTTTTTTTGTAGTCACCTCGTGTTGAATGCCACCCATACAGCTAACCATAGATACCTGCCATTCCAGAGTTATAAATTACTTTTGAACTTTCGCATTCAACGTCCTAGAATGTAAACATGTTTCTTAACGCGTTTACGTCACGAAATTACAAGTATTACGTCAGACGATTCAAGTAAGTCATAGGTGCCTGTTACGTGGTGGCGTTAATTCCCGTGTATGAACATTTTAAGAGTTAGAAGTGCGTCACTGGTCTTAAAATTTCGAAAGTATAGATCCCATTTGTAGAAACAAATATATGTATATAACACATACATAACAGTATTTGTTTTATACAGTATATATATCATGCTGCTGGCAGGTAATGCCAATTTCTTGACATAGCAAACATCTGGTTGTGTATAGAAATAAATACTCCGAATAATAATCGTTTTACTGACACATTTTTAAATAAAATAAACTCAATATGCATGTGTATTTAAAGAAGAAAATTGTTTAAATATTACCATAGCATAACATCAATTCAATATTATTTTATACATATCATATATTTACATGTACGACTATTATTTACTATTTAACATTGTAATATATTAGAAACATTACTTTAATAGAATAAGCCAATATAATAACAAACCTCTTTAGTAAATGATATGACCCAGTCAATCAAATTTGAAGTGGTTTTAATCTGATTGGCCGTCAATATTCACTGAACGTCTAATGGTTGTGTGAATCATTAATCATTAGAAGAAGGAGGAAGCACTCGGTGATTCATTTCCTACTTTAAAATGATAGAAAGATGACGTTCGCTTATATCTAGGTAGCCATGTTTATAGGGGCTAAAGCATTTGTTTAGAAGTGGTTTAATGTGTAAAGTAAATATATACCTTTTGTGTGTTCGATTCGGACAAATCACAAATTGTGTGATAAGAACGATCTGATCTTGGTCTTTTGTAGTTTATCCAGAATATATATGTCTTTAAAAACATATAGGTACTTACCTGTATGTTTTTAAAGACATATATATTCTTTCTTTCATTTGGTTTTTGTGGGAGTGATACCATGAGCTTCATAAAAAACCGATGTTTGGCAGTTCTTTCGTTAAATTTCACCGAGTCCGTGAGGTTAACGGAGGATCAATCCCTCCTCTTATCCCTTATTATGGGTGAGCGCTCAAGGTCGGCTTCACACTTTTGTCACAAATCACATGTGAAATCGTTGTGACTAAAACCAGTCACTTAATCAAATGCATATGATTTAAAAGTAGCAAAAATTTCCATGTCTAGTACAGGCTGTGCCTAGTTTGGGAGCAGACGGCAGTGCGTCAGCTGTCACTGTCAAGTTCATCACACATCACATCAACAGCCTTTAATAGAAAAAAATGCAGTTTTGATATAGTATTTCTTCAAGCCATCAATCTTTGAATTTTGACTATATCTAATAGAAAATGGAAAATCAGGTTGCCGTGTCCCATCGTTAGGCGGAGGGCGAATGTGGATATTAACTGATGCTATCAGCTACACATGATGTAATTTCAATGCAGCTTTTATAGCTGCGATTAAAAGGGGCTCAGTTCGTGTATTGATCAAGTACCTACATTTTGGGAAAAACATTTATGGACTGTTAATATTTACATAAGAACATAAATACGTACCTAATACTTAAAATAAATACTTTCTGTTTGCGCCAGCTTGCTTTTATAATTTGGACTTAGTTCAACCTTACTTAGTTAGACTTAGTTCAAATGATTACGATAGGTGTGATTCAGTTAAAACAGTCAGACTGAATTCCGTTTTAGTAAAAAAGTTTTTTTTTTTATGTTAGAGGGGGCAGACGAGCAGACGGGTCACCTGATGGAAAGTCACTATCGCCACCTATGAACGTCTGCAACTCAGGAGTCACAAACGCGTTGCCGGCTTTTTAGGAAGGAGCACGCTCTTTTCTTGAAGGTTTGAAAGTCGTATCGGTCCGGAAATACCGCAGACGATAACCCGTTCCACAGATTGGTTGGGTTCCGTATAAATTTGTTGGTACATATTATAAATAGTTCAGAAATCGAGACTTGCAGTTCTCTCTGAGATTTTCCCGAAATTCACTTTCTAAAATCTAGAATTACGTGTATACATGTTATTGTGTATGATAAGTAAAATTGTATCTTGATGATTGATTATGTACTTTAAACAAAGACTATTATTTATGATTCAATTACAAATGTACCTATAGTTTTCAGATATTTCCCTGTACTTGTAGTATAGCACGATGTTACTTGACATAATTCTAGGTCAACGGTACCCTGTAAATTTTGACTCCCTTGAGTGTCGAAATATGCGTTCTTTTGCGGCATAGGCGGCCTTATCTTTTTTTTATATTAAGAATTTGTTAGAAATTTGTTTTTTTCACAGCTTTAAGGGACTGTAGAGTTGAGTATATGGTTTCAATTTCAACTCGATACCTTCACGCGTCCCTGAGATAAAGGGCCTTGACAGACAGATGGAGGGTTCCATTTGTTCCTTTTGAGGTACGGAACCCTAAAAAGGAAATAGTTATACAGAATTTTTATTTTCTAAATCATCTTCGATACAGCCATCTACAATAGAACACCGTGAATTTCAGTTAATATGATTGGGACATAGAACTTGACCCTTAGTTTAGATTAGACGAGGGCGAGTGTAAACAAAAAATTCTAGCCTTTTTAAATAAACCTAAAACAAACCTGAATGTACAAAACTTTCTTATTTGTGACTCTGACTGATTACCAGTAAATTAACTTGAATTCGTTCATAGTATTTAGATATCCATTTACTTAATTGAAAATAGCGTCCATCAAATTTCTCAACTTACTTTGATGAAATGAGGACATTGATATCTAGCATTCACAAATACATAAGACATAGATTTTCGTACATATTGTTCGCTTTGATTTCAATGTTCAAACTTCAATAACCAGCAAACATTTATATATTTCCCGCCAGGATAAAGTAAAGCAATACTAAAAAATTGACATCTTTGCTAACGTCATTGTACGCAAAAATGTTTTCTACTTCCATTGTGTCAGGCAGCTTATAATAATTTACATTAATTATGTGTCAAAGCGGCTGCTATGTTGGGTGTATTAAGTTGAAACAGAGGCGCCAAATACGAAATTAGACATCTACGCGGCAGAAATTCAAAATGGCGTCGCTCTAATGTCATTACTTTTTATTCACGCTGAGTAAAGCTTTTAGAAAACTGCCAATCTATAGTAAATTAAAATTACCAAAAATTGTGATTTAAATTGAATTTCAGAGCTTATACCATATACCAATGATTAAAAATACGATTTTCAGTAAACTTATTCATTTCAGTACTCTGTAAAATGTCTCATCGCCTTTTTATGCAATTTGATTTTAGAACGTAGTCAATTGTTTCAAATTTTTCGTTTTTATACATAATTTGTGTTAGTTCTTAGTTATAAATTTTGTAAAATAAAAAAGTCTATTGCTCCACACCTTTTATATTTATGTTAAAATGAAACTGAAATGTTATGCTACAGGAGCAATTAAATGTAGGTACTTTAAGTTTATATAATTTTCAGTTCATAAATAAATTGTTCTCAAGCAAGTAATAAGGTTTCATGAAACACTTAACGGTGAAATGGGGTTCTTGTAAATTGAACTTTCTGTAATAACAGAAGAATTGTGAGAGAATGGTTCAAATGTACGAGTTTGTTTGTACGGAGAATACTTTTCTTGAACTCGTGTAGGTAATATCATTTTAATGAAACAGACTGTACTTTACTTATTTATTTATAAGAGCGTAAAGTGACGTAGCTGCAATAGTGACGCAGTTGTTTAAGAAGTCAGTATGCAACGCTGTGGATTTAACTTTTACTGGAAACAAATATTCGTAGGAGGTTCAAATAAAATTATTTGTGTTTGTATGAGGTTAGTGTAAGTGAACTGAACGTTCGTGACGTGCATGTGGTACATGGATTCATTCTGCAGTGTGAGCATTGTCTTTTATCGACCCATGCTCTCCCGTTTAACAATCAGAGTCACTAACTGTTAGACCTACAGGTCCATCAAGGCCCGTCAACACTAAGTATGTAGGTTAATATATCCAGAAACCTTGGAAGTACAACCACAGAGTGATTTAAATGTGCTGTCGCCACAGGTTATTCTAAGCACACTAATTTGTTTCACGCTGTAGTAGATACAAATAATAATAATGAATTAATAATCACTTTTCTTGTTATAGATGTACCGGAGTGAATCATTGCAACTTCCTGCTCCTAGAAGACTACCCTCCGTCCAAGAGTTGGTCTCCAGGAGCAGTCTACATAAAGTATGCGTGCTTTGATGGTGAGTACCACCTCAAATTGCTGTACTAAAATATTCGTTGAGGTTTGAATACTTTAGAGATTCATCATCATTAACTCAGCCGAATGACGTCTACTGTTGGACATAGACCTATTATTTAGAAAAAAAAACCTCTCCCACGTTTCACGACAACAATTGGTCCTGTGCTGCTCGCATTCAACGGCTTCCCGCGGGAGATTGGTTTCTAGTTACTTCTTTTTAAACTGTTCAGACTTGCATCAGTCGTGGTCACAGTCCATCTACGACCTGATTATGTGCAATTTGTTCGAAACGCCATCTAACTAAAAGGCGTTTTTATGTAGAATATGTATTTATTTACGAAAAAAACTGTTTAACTTTTTATGTTTTATCATCATCTATCTACTCAGCCATGACATTCACCGTGATCCACATTTAACAATTAATTCATTCTCATTAACAGCCTTTACTAGTCCACTGCTGGACATAGGCCTTAGAAAGAAAGTTTTGGCCTACTAGACCTAACTTTGCCGGGATTAGACGATAACAATACTGTTATTCCTTTTATTTTTCTGGCACAAAAATTGTTTTTGTACTCATCTATAAAATGTAGATAAGAATTTACAAAAAAAGTATACTAATTAATAGACCTATTTTGGACCCATAATACAAGTTATGCTTAACTGGCTTTTCCCCGGGGTCCCGCCTGCGTGTATGTCGGTTATCGCGGTAAAAGTAGTTGATGTCCTTTATTAAGACTCAAACCATCTCTATAATATTTATCTAAATCGGTTCAGCGGTTATTGATTCCCCATACAAACTTCTAATTCCCTTTTCACCCTCTTAAAGGATGACTTCTGGGATAAAAACTATCCTATGTCCTTTCCTTAGACATAAACTATCTCTATACCAAATTTTATATAAATCGGTTCAGCGAGTAATATTAGTATGGATTTAGGTCTTTAAAGCGTTATGTAATATATGTCCTGGGATATCATAGTTATTATTATACTACTCATATGACTAGTATCTCTACTTTGAGTTTTCTAGTTTATCTCAAACTAGAGATACCTACTGGTCGAAAAGTTTTATCTATCTGTAGTTCTTAAGCAATCACATCACATCAACAGCCTTTAATAGTCCACTGTTGGACATAGGCCTCTCCTTAGAAAGGAGGTTTTGGCCTACTACACCACGCTGGCCAGACGGGTGGTATAGGGGTTGTTTCAAGTTTTCCTTCTCTCTGCAGTGCTAAACAATGGATAGATATACCTTTTGGGACGTAAACTTTTTCCTTTTTCTTTACAGATACGGTAGAAACTACAAAAATATCTTCTTTTTACTTATTGGCATTTGACTCTAAGGATTCTCGACATTCGTGGTAATAAAATAAAGTTTACAGTAGTTAATTGCAATTGTGCACTTATTTCGTATTAGAAACACCAACGTCACTTTTAGGTAATGCACCCAAGTTTGTTGTTGAGAATTTCCGAGAGCCAGTGTTGATTAAATCGGACGCCGGATACAGAGACTCGTAGAAATAAATTAATTCAGGAACGGCGAATAACGAAGTACATGACTTTGAAATTAAATTAGACTCCACGTGGACGGAATTTCTTGCACAACTATGCATTTTGACAAATGCCTTTTTATTTACTCTTACTAATGCATAAAAGAACTAGACTGCAGCGATATGCCAAATAGGCCTAAATCTCAAGCTCTCCGAACAATATTTTAAAAATCTCACGATAGGTAAAGTTGGACAAATCTAAATCAGAACAGTCTGACAAAACATATCTTTTTTCCAATAAACTAAACCAAATTAATTTTAGGTTTATTATATCCCCTTCAAAATCACCTTCTACATAATAAGATTTAAAAAAAATCGTAAACTGAGGAAAGTATAGGTAACATACGCAATAGGTATGTTGACTTGTACGTAAATCTTTACAATGACGGTTACACTGGGTAAAGAAACAACGCACAAATATTAAAAGTTACTGAACTACCGTCAAAATGCGATCACAATTTTAATGACCTTTTGTATGACAATTTCTTAGTCTCAAACCTAGTTTCATTAACTGTTAAACTTAGTAAAAATGTTATCTCCATATAATTAGTCTGTTATCAAATTTTTAGTAACTGGAAAAGAGGATAGCAATGAATAATTTACTCAATATCGTCATGATTCTTTAATATTTTATATTTTAATTCTAATACAAAAAAACAAGCAAGCCTCAGAGTAGTCGTATATGATGTGAAATTGACTGCACGGATGGCGTAGTGGCGCAGCTTCGTACTGCGCTAAGTGTTGTTCGATCCCCACATGGGACAACACTTTGTGTGATCCACAAATTGTTGTTCGTAAAGTCTGTAAAATGTATGTTTGTAAAGTCCCTCGCGATACAGGATTTAATCCTATTGCGGGCATTGTCTTTTAAACAAAATATATTTACAAAAAAATACCCTAATCATTTCAGACCAGCCTATCACAATCCTACTTTTTCAAAGTCACCTAAAACCCCTCCCGTGTTTTCGATAAGTTATTTAGATTACCATTTAATTAATCAAATTTGAGAAATATATTAATGTAACACATTTAGGACACTGCCATTATGAACTGTGAAATTGATTCATCAGTATTGTTTAGGAAACATTGTCACTACGCTAATAGTTTGCACGCTGAGTTTTAGCTCGTCGGGCATGATGTACTGATAGTCAACAAGTTATAATAGAACATTTAAGTAAAGCTCTTGAATAGGTTTTAATCTTGAACCATTTGGAATTGTTCTAATTATAAATCCTTTTAGTTTTTCACTCGTAACAAAACAAATAAGATTTTTATAAATTGTACATTCAAATGGTATTAGAATGAATTTAAAAAAATATGTGTCATGAATACAGTAAAACAAAGGAAAGGTCGGAAAAAAAGATATTCATTGATACTGTCTTTTTAGGCTAATAGTTTTTTATGCAATGTACAGTTTGCCACAAACTTTCAGTTCGGTGCAAAACTATCCTTACTATCAATACGCAGATGTGCAGTTCACGCCTTTTAAAATAAAGGGTGGTGCGTTGGCTGCGTACGAAAATAATAGCCATATGTGACATAAGGGTTGATCGGGGTGTGAACAGTTTGCCAATTATGTGTAATATCGTGTTTGGGGCATGTAGTAAATATATAAATTTGTTTATCAGGAGTCTGGTTACTATAGCACAGACTCTGCCTAGTTTGGAATCAGACGGCTGTGTGTGAGATGTGGGAAGTTATTGAAGTTATATGCCACTGGTTGACTCTCACGCTCAAATAGTCCATGGTTTTAATGGATGTTAAATTAACAAGAATGTCCTTTTATTTAGTTGTGTTATTCAAACTGCCTTTTGGTAGCGATAAACCATTTACATTGGGGCATAATTGACCCTTGGGAATGACACGTGCCCGATTCCCATTGTAACATGTGCCCATTTTAGCATGACACCGTAAACGTATGCTGTTTCGCTAAAATATCTGGTTTTATTCCATTTTAGTCGGGAGCAAAAGATCAAGTTATCTTGGTAAATGTGTTTGCTATAGAATCGACACATTTTACCCCGAAATGTTGAAATAATCTCGAAGTTGGGGTGCATTTAATGGAGTATGGCAAACATGCAGTCACGTGCGAACGATTTTAAAGAAATGTGAAATTTATTGTTCCTTTGTGTTGGAAAAATGCACTTTAAAGATAATAATGTATTATTTGAACGTGTAGCGTTTACATTTTATTCTACAACTAGCTGGCACCCACGAGTTCGTTCGCTACGGTAGTGGTGTAGTCGCTTACCGTACTGCAGTTCTTGTGGCTTCGGGTTCGACTCCCGGACAGGGCAAAATTTTAAAGGGTTCTTCTAAGAGAAAAAATAGCTTAAGTTACTTCTATAGACAGTAAACTGGTAGTAAAATATTATTAATCACTTGCCATTAGGTAATCTACCTGCTCGCTTGCCCTCCTATACCATTAAAGCCTATGACAGTCCACTGCTGGACATAGGCCTCTCCTTAGAAAGAAGGTTTTGGCCTCCTATACCACGTTGGCCAGACGGGTTGGTATAGGGTTTATATTAAGTTTTCCCTCTCTTTGCAGTGCTAGTGTCTTGCCTAGTTTGCTCCCTTAGTCGGCTCTCATGACACCCACGGGATGAATAGGGTCGGTGACACTCTGTATTCTTAATCCGTCACCCCGCAAAAAAATTATTACAAGAAGTCTTATGATTCAAAATTAAAAAGCTTATTCAGACTTAAGAATCGTGTATGTATGAAATCTGTTTCAATGTATAAAAAGACAATAATGGACTCGGACCCAGCCAATTCGAGTTATTACTTGCACTTTCCAATCCCTACGCCTTAAACCCTTAACATCTCTTTCCTTTGGTTATACTTGGAACTTTGCCATCTAACTCCTAAAGTTCGTACTATTAAACGGTTCGTAGATATTATACGGTCCTGTTGATCTAGCGGTAAGTGCTAAGCCGCAGGTCGTAGGTTAGATTTTTACTCAGAACAAATATTGGGTGATGAGTCATTTGTTCTGTGTCTGGGTTTTAGTCTATAATATGTTTGTTATTAGAAATATATAAGTATGTTTAACAGCAGTCTGGTTACAATAGTACTGGTTCTACCTAATTTGGGATCAGACTACCGTGTGTGAGATTGTGAGAAGTTATTATTATTATCAATTGTAGCCTGCAAATTGGGGACTTGAGAACACCCCTCTATTACTTCGGCAATATAGACTTGAATTTGTACATCTTTGTTACTAAAAGAATAATACACGACTAGTGCAAAAAATCTATTGATTTCTTTTCTCTAGGTCACATCGATCATTAATATAATAAGTATTTGTGCCAGTCTTTTATGAAGTCATATTTTGGGGTGAATGGGCCGCCCTGACAGAATATCATTATGGCCACATGACTACATTACCATAAGTGATGGATTCCCTCCGATATTGTGAATTGTGCCGTTTTCATGGTCTATTATATAAATG